ACGGGGAGCACTAAAGGGAGGGAAGGGCATGCCTTTAACCCGCATTTGGGTGAGGCAAAGACATAAAGTGTAACTATAATGTTTGTACCCTCACAAAACCCTGGAATAATAAAAAAAAAGAAAAAAAAAAACCAGGAAAGGCAAGAATCTGCAGGTCAAGCAAAAATGAAGTTGAGTATAGGATCTAAACCTGAAAGGCACTGGGTAATGGATATATATTTTATCTCCCTTATAAATAAATGTAGATAGATTCAATTTCATATCAGTTTTGCTTATCTCTTAGCTAGGGGTTAATATAAGAATTTTAGAATTAGACAATTCTGAGTTTGAATTTTTATTCTATCATTAAATGTGACCTTAGGCAAATTTCCATATATGAAATATATGTCATATATGAAATGGATCTGGACATACCTACATGCCAAGTTTGTTCTGAGGAACAAATGAAAGAATGTGTAAAGCATTGGAGAAAGTCGGTGGTAAACTTTTATTATAGGTAGCTATTATTTTGTTATAACATTTTTTGGTTTCCCATTTTTTGGTTATAACATTTGATGGGCTCAACTTGAAAGTATTAATTTGGTATTTTTCATTCTGTTCTTCCATTTTTCTCCTACTTCTGATAAAGTATAGCAAGATGCCTTCCAACAACATTGTGTCACCTGTAGCAGAATTGTGTGTATTAGATGGGTCAGGTTAGTCTGCAATAAGGAAGGCATGTTACCAGATGATTTTTTAAAAAAGCACATTAGGAATAATAGATTTGAAGTGACTTTATTCTGTGCAAGAATTCATCTAAGCGGTTTTATCTAAACTGTTTACTTTGACCATTTGACTTGGCATTGAAGAAGGAATCTTTAGAAAAAAAGCAAAGTAATAAAGTATTTATTTAAAGATTATTCAAATGACCGTGCCTTGGATTTTGTTAATAAATTAAACCTACCTTTATATGAAGAGAAAAATCATAACAATTCCTAACTGATTTAGGCTATTAAGTGGATGAAGACTGACTTAGCCAGTCTTTGTCTACTTCTTGCATCATATCAAGGTACTTTGGAAAACTTTTATTTTCTATGCTCGTAGTTTATACACAGTGAATAGCATTTTAAATATAAGTAATAAAATTTTCAGGTGTTCAGTGGTTAAGGTGTTGTGGAAGGCCTTAAATGTAGCACAATTATAATGGAAAAGCAATGATTTCCACATACTTAGGATTTTTTTTTTTATTTTTCAGGATGAATAAGAGATATTTACAGAAAGCAACAAAAGGAAAACTGCTAATAATAATATTTATTGTAACCTTGTGGGGGAAAGTTGTATCCAGTGCAAACCATCATAAAGGTAAGCTCTTCTGTTTTCTTTCTCAACTATTATATCTGTGGAAGATGACTCCCCTTAACACAGACTGTTGTGTTCTGTCTCCACGTATCAGTTAAATTTTACTACGTATAGGATTTCCCTGGCAATTCTCTTTACGTAAAAATGCAGGGAGTTATCCTTAAGACGGCTTGGATAGGGAAAACATGATATTTCCAGAATTACTGCCATTTCTGCAAATAGTGTTCAAAGAAAATGAAATTGTATCTCTGCCTTTCCTTCTCATTTAAGATGACGATGTCAAAGTGTTAAAAATGAGTTTCAGATTGCATTCATCCTCATAAA